TGACACTCTTGACTAAAAAGAGGCACACTGGAACATGTAAATTTGATCCCATTTTACAAATGGAGCTAAAGGGAGCATTTACCATAGTAAGGTGACAGCCTAAAGTCAGGTTTTAGTTCAAAGAGTTCCAGCTTCCACTAAGCAAATCACGTCTAGCAGCGGAGACCGATGATTCAAGCAAATTTCAGACCATTCTTCTAATACGGTTAAGCCACTCCTGAAGGTAAATGTTAAAACTATTTAATAACTGAAGCTTCAGGCTTTGCGACTTGGGGTTTGCCCTTAGACTTTTTGGTTGCTACTGGAAATAAGATTATATTTTAAAGTTTCTTCTATCAGAAAAAAGCAACGCTCTAAAATTTCCACATTCTTTAGTTTTACTGCAGGCAAGCTCCTGTCTTTGGGTAATAAAGGTCTTTCCTAATTCACAAATAAAAGGACACATTAAATGTATACCTTTTTCATAATGTAGCTATGAATGACTTTGAGCAATTCCATAGCTTTTCTTTTTTTGAGTAAATACCTCAGCCTCAAATAGGACTCTGCTCCTGAGTTTAAAAGAAGAAAGGCTGGCTACCCAGAAAAATTCAAATAAAATGATGTTTATGATCAGCGTATATTAACAGTATAGCCCTTTAGAGAAAGTCAGGGCTATTTATAATCATTCTGGACTTTCTCCAATCAATTACTTCACTGTTTGAAACTCTTTGGTTGTTCTTATTTTTAGAATAAAGTTCAGACTCCTCAGCATATTATACAAAGCTTTTCTTGATCTGGCTCCTTCCTACCTTTCCCAATAACATCTGAAACTCTCACTTTTTTCCTAGACATTGCATTTTAGCCACACTTAACTACCAGCCATTACCATGACTTCTCTGTGCTTTTTTCTGTTCTGTTGTCTCTTTCTGGGATATGCCTCCTCTTCTTACCCACCCCTACTTCCTGCAACACAGGTTTCTGGGGCATAAATATATCCTACCTACTCACTCATTAAGAATCAACTCGTACACCACTTACTCCAGGAAACATTTCTTGATCTCCTCCTCTTCCCCTCCCCCTGGACATCAATAGGGATCTGCCCTCTGGTTTCCCACAATATTTTTTACCTTTATCATAGCATTTCTGACCATGTATTATGACTACTTGTTAAAAAGTAAGTTCCTTGAAGGTAGGCTTTGTGTCTCATTCTTCATTATATGTTGATACACAGCCTGTCATACAGTAGTTGCTCAATACGCTGCTGTTGTTGATGATGAATGTTGACTATGGACCAGGCTTGTTTACTAGAAACATACAAGTTCAGGGCCATCCTTATGATGCAGGGGCTGAACAGATCACACACAATGGCCTGCTGTCATTGCTGGGTTCTCAGTAAAATTGAGACTGAGTAAAATAACAAAGGCAGCTCTAACGAGAAAAAAAAATTTGTAAATAATAAAAAGCAAGTAATCATGGGCAGCTTGCTGCCTCACCTCAATAACTGAAGCAGGATAACGGGGAAATAAGGGTTATTGGCACATTTAGCTATATTCTTTAAAGAAAAAAAATACATACATACATACCAGTAATGCTCTGTACAGCTGCTCTATTGGCACTTAAGGCATCTGCAGTTTAGGCATTAAAACATACATGAACAGTATGTCAGGCAATTTGGGTTGAAAAACCTGGATGTGAGATCTAACTTTGTTTGTAGCCATCTGCATTGCCCTGAATCAGCCCCTTCATCTCCCTGGCTCTCAGTCTCTTCCTCTTACATGATCTTTGATCCCCTTTTTAGTTCAAAAGTCTCATTCATTTTGACATTCGGAGCTGGTAGAGCTTGATACACAAAATATCTTCAAAAATACATAACAAATTGTTAAATTAAGTTTAGCCTAAACCTATCTACTTATCGAAGTTTGTGCTAAAAATTTCTTCAGGAATTGTAACTTAACTGGATGTGTAAACAGACTACAACTTACTATTTTACCAAACAGTTTCAGCCAGTCATAGGCAGACAACTGTTCAAACTGTGTTCAAATAAGGCAAATGCCAAGACGTAAACAATCCAGCTGTTTCTGCGCCTTATTTTCATTTTCTGTAGGTCATTTTCCTTTTTCTGTCCATAAATCTTCTCTGACCATACAGCTGCCCAGAGTCTCCCTAAACTTATTCTGGTTCAACAGACTGCCCGATTTGTGAATTGCTCTTTGCTCAATTATACTCTGTTAAATTTTAATATCCAAAGTTACCCTTCTTACTAAATGAATGAATTAATGTCACTCTCCTTCTCTGTCTGCTTTTGGGGTTTTGCAGAATGAGCTGCCAACCATGATAACAAACTTGAAGGAGGCTGTGTCCCACAAGCATTAAGAGCTTCAGCAGCTCCCACTTTCCTCTCAATCTGCTTAAACAAACCTTTTAACCAAGTAGCACCAGAACACAAACTGGGGAAATACTGGACAACCTCAAAGCCAACAAGGAAATGGAGAGGCAATAGATGAAGATTACAGGGGCAATCCAGAAGGTCATCAGTAAGGCACAATAATTCAACCTGCTGGAGGGGAGGATGCCAACAGGGACCTCTGCAAAGCACAAGCAAGTGAACCTTTGAAGAAAACAAAGATTTAGTTTTCCTAAGAAGTTCTTCAGAGAAAAGCAAAACAATAACAACAAACTTTCCTTTCACTCTTCCCAGGCAGCAGGAATTTCAGACAGATCAGCCTATTTGCCCTCAAAACCCTCAGCGTGGATGTGCCCATATGACCAGGACCACCGGGCAGCTGTTGGCAGGAAGTCCAATACTGCCTTTCCAATAAAGGCTCGATGGACAGCCCTCTTATACTCCTTACCCACCCTCCTTTGGGGCCAACACTGATGCCCATTACCACTCTGGGCTTTTAACCTAAAAGCCCAACACCCACTGTGGTCTTAATTTCTTGCCCAGGAGATGCTTTAAAAGGAATGTAAAAAATATACAGGCATGCATGGAAAGCTAAAACATTTAGAGCTTTGAGCATCCTCCTTGTAATAAATACCTAATACCTACATGTTAGTTAAATATTTTATTTGAACTATAAATATACAAGTCTAATTATTATATAATACTTGTATATTATATATACTTTTATATCATACATATACAAATATATTTATTTTCTTTCCATTAAGCTATGCATTTCTCTCATTATTTTGTATAGGACCTTAACTATGAAGATAGAAACAAATATGAAAAACAAAGCACCTATATTTCTAGGCACCATACTAAGCCTTCACACACATTTATTTTACTTAATTCCCTCAAGCACCCTGTATCTTCCTCATTTTACAGATGAGTAAAGTAAAGCTTAGGGAAGTTAAGTAACCTCCTCCCACCAAGATCACATGCTAAGAAAGTGGTATGGTCAGGATTTGAAGTCTGCCTGTAACATCGATGCTTTTAGCCACAACACCATATTACCAGATTCTTCTTCATACATTCTTCACACAAAAATGTGTACCATAACATTTAACAATGAATAGTTTATTCCTTAATTAAAGGGTAAATGAGGAACAGTGAAAAGTCAGAGACAAAATGTAGAAATTGGTAGTTTACCATGGTTTGAGACATTGTCTGGGACAAACTATGTTGGTGTTGCTGAATGACTACATTAGGATGCATGTATAATTTCCCTTTCTACCCTTTGTTAAACTGGTAAATGCAGATTAAGTTACTTTTTCATATAGACTACGAGTGAAACAAATATATAATCACAGAAGTATGTATATGCACATGTATATGTGTTAAAATTAAAGTTTCAAATATATCTTTTAAGCCTTCAGGAATTCATTTTGCCTATAAATAGACGGGATTTTGCCGTGTTGGCCAGGCTGGCCTTGAACTCCTGGCCTCGAACTCCTGGCCTCAGGTGATCAGCCTGCCTTGACCTCCCAAAGTGGTGTGATTACACGTGAGCCACTGTGCCCAGCTGGGATGCTCACCTTAATGGACAGGTTAACAGACCATTATGTGAAGTGTGGTAAGTGTCCAAAGGGAGTGAGCTCCAGTAGGCTTTTAAGGCCAGAGGACAGGCTACAAGGAGACTCAGAGAAGACCACCTCGAGAAGGTTACAAGGAGTTTCCCTTACAAAGAATACAACAAAGATTATGAAAAGTTTTCCAACAACCCCAGGTTAAGTAATCACTCTTTTCTGTGAACCCACCACATGATTTGTATCTCTACCATAGCATTGTTCTTATTGAACTGAATGTTTAATTACCTAGCTCTGCTGCTAGACAATGAACAACTTGAAAGCAGTGGCCATGACTTTGACTAAGATGAATTTTCAGCATCTCCCATAGGTTCTAACCAAAAGAAGCAGCTTGATAAATACCTAAAAGAACTGAATTGAGTTGTCATGGACCTCTGAAAAGGCAGGTGGTTAAACAGCAGGACAAGCTACAACCCAAAACTGCAGCTGCTTGGGATCTAAGGGAGAAACGAGAGGGAGAAGGATGACTTCATTTGCTCTTGTCTAAGGAAGTTCAGATTCAGAGCAAAGCAATGCCAAAGGCAACAGTGCCAGGCACTACTCTCTAGACACCTCTGCTCATTTTGTTCTGTGGCCTGTGACTGAACTCTGATTTGATCTGAGGTCTATGGCCTAGGATGATTCATAGTGTGGAGTTTTGGTTTACAATGCAATGTAGTCTCTTCAAAACATGGCACCCTGGCACAAGTAAGAGGTATAACTCTAATTCTTACAGGATTTCCTAGCAGAGCTCTAAGTTTTGTGAGGCTTATAAAAAGTTAAACATTTAAAACATGCCAATATGAAGCTCATTTAGCCTCTGCTAATGACTTCAGTGGGTTTGTTAACTACGTTATTTTCTCTCTGGTTTCTCTACCTTATATTTGCCTTAGAGAGCTGGAATGAAAACTTGTTTGTCTGGCTGACTGATTTCATCTTTGATTTAGCAGCTCTAACCTCCACTTTCATTTTGATCCAATATTTGATGTGTTGTTCAATTCATTGTCTTGAAATCTGGCCAGATTACAAATAAGCAATTTCAACGAGAGTAATAAAAATGAACAGAACATGAAGAAGAACATCAATTGTAAACCTTGCTTAAACTCCTACATGATCCAAATGTGTCCTTGGCACCAAATGGAAGGTGAAGAGGAAATATAAATAGATAATTTCACTTTCACTAAACTTCAGTGATTAATAGTACCACAGACAAAATGGGAAAGAGAAATGATATCAGTATTTAGTGTGTGTCCACTATGTACCAAGCACTGTCCTATGTTATCTCATTTACATCCCATGGGAACCTAACAAAATAGGTGACAGTCCTATTTTTTTTGCAAGGGAAGAAGTTCAGACACAAAGAAGTAAAGATGAATAATCATTTAAGATTAAAAGCAACAAAATGATGGAGCTATAATATGAGCTTCTTTAACTGTCTGGCTTTAATGTACATACTTTATCCATTATAACGTTAAATAAGTGTTATTTACTGAAATTGTTTAGCCATAGTTTTTGTTTCATTATAAATTTAATAAAAGAAACATAGTATAGAGTAGAAGGAACAGAGGAAATCAAGTATTCCAGAGACTCCATAGCTCATCATAGAACTTAACACAGAACTTCTGTATTATCTTCAAACTGTTAGTTTGATTTCGCGCGCGCGCGCGCGCGCGCGTGTGTGTGTGTGTGTGTGTGTGTGTGTGTGTGTGTTCAGCAAATCAGAGTTTTGGTCAACATGCCATTGATACTGCATTAATGGAATTCTAGTATAACACTGCATACCTTCATTAGCTTGTTGGCTATCATCGCCAGCATATTTATGTTGAAACACTGAATATAACTCAAGAACCTCTATTGCCACTTCAGGGATACCCAACCTGAGGACCACTGATAAAACCTGAGAGCATTCAGTGTGATTTCACACCACATCTGCATGAATATACTCAGCTTACATCTTAAGTTCTCTTTGACTTTTGAATTTCGTTGTTCTATCAAGCATGTTATGAGTTCCTTATCATTTATTTAAGTTTCCTCATTCAATAAACCAATATTATGATAATAGGATTCCAGACTCTAGACTTGGAAATAGTTGCTTCTTTTTGACATCTTGGTCTAACACAATCTGAGTGTTACTTTTTGAAATTGTTCAACTAGCCATACTTTTTGTTTCATTAAATATTTTATACGGAACATATTTTTCATGTTCTGAAATGATAATACAACGTCAGCATATTCCAGATATCTGAGGTTTTTTGCCTAAAAAGTGACATTTTGATTATTTTCTTTTTGTAAAACCAAAGAATCATTAAGGTTCTATAAATAAAGCATAAACAAATAATAGCTGTTACCATCTTATAACATTGACAGTTTTAACAATTATTATAAAGGTTTGTTTGACCTCAAGCCTCGTAAACTGTACGAAGGAACATTAGACCATTTACTTCCAGGGCATTGGTGAGGTCATAAGACTAATTACTAAGACTAAAACCTAATGCTCCTGAATTCCTTGGCTAACACCTGCCTGCTGCTCGGTACTGCCTATGGAGTCCTAATTTCAAACATTATTAGTGACTTTTCCCAAATCAGCAAAGAAAGTCACACACGAGCCTTGGGTTGTCAGTGCCAGTGCTCCCTCTCAGGGTCAGATCTGCTTTCTCAGTTCCCTTTCTTCTCGATATATTCAATCCTTTCCTATGCTCAGTGTGCCTCCCACTCTCAGGCTGCTCACCACAACTGTCTGTGTATAGGCTTCCACATCCAACCAAACTGACAATAGAGTCTCTTCATCATCCCCATTCTATTAATTTCCTGAAGGTAATAAGCCTATGAGCTATTTCAATTCTAAAATTTTTACTTCTGTTCTTGGCCGCATCTACGGCAAGAAGGAAGACCATTCTCAGCAATCAGACTGTCGACTTCAGAAAATGTCAACATTATCCTGAAGGGACACACAGTTATTGTGAAGGGCCCCAGAGGAACCCTGTGAAGGGACTTCTATGTATCAATGTAGAACCCATTCTTTTTGGAAAGAAAAGGAAGAGGCTCCAGTTGTCAAAGGGGGAAACAGAAAAGACCTGGCCACTGTCTGCACTTTGTAGTCATGCGCGAACATGATCAAGGGTGTTACACTGGGCTTCTGTTACAAGGCGAGGTCTGCGCATGCTCAATTCCCCATCAATGTCATTATCAAGGAGAATGGGTCTCTTATTGGCATCCGAAATTTCTTGGATGAAAAATAAATCCTCAGGGTTTGGATAAGGCCCAATGTTGCTTGTTTGGTATCTCAAGCCCAGAAGGATGAATTAATCTTTGAAGGAAACAACACTGAGCTTATTTCAAATTCAGCTGCTTTGATTCAGCAAGCCACAACAGTTAAAAACAAGGATATCAGAAAACTTTTGGATGGTATCTATGTCTCTGAAAAAGGAACAGTTCAGGAGGATGATGAATAAGATCTAAGATTTATCTAGCCACAGAAACAAGATGCTGGATGATTCCTAAGACTTATTTGTGATATATAAATGATGCAATAAAAGACCTATGATGGCCAGGTGCGGTGGCTCATGCCTGTAATCCTATAAATTTGGGAGTCCAAGGTGGGCGGATCATGAAGTCAGGAGTTCAAGACCAGCCTGACCAACATGGTGAAACCCCGTCTCCACTAAAAATACAAAAAATTAGCCGGGCGTGGTGGTGGGTGCCCATAGTCCCAGCTACTCGGGAGGCTGAGGCAGAAGAATCGCTTGAACTCAGGAGGCGGAGATTGCAGTGAGCTGAGATCGTGCCACTGCTCTCAAGTTTGGGCAACAGCGTGAGACTCTGTCTCAAAAAAAGAAAAAAAGGCCTATTGATTTGGAAAAATGTTTTAAATTTAAAAAATAAATAAAATGTTTACTTCTGATTACTTTTTCCTCTGGGGAAACTGACCTGGGGAACCAGGTGTTAGAGTCACACACAGTCCACGGTCTCTTTTCCTTAAGATCATAAGGGGACAGTGGTTAAGAGGACAAACCTTGAATCCAGGCTTTCTGAATTTCAATCTCAGCTTCTGCCACTCAGCTGCATATCCTTCAGCAAATTATTCAAACTCTCTCTGTCTCAGCTTCACCATATATAAAGTGAAAATAAAAATCGTACTTTTTAAAAGGGTTATGTTGAAGATGACATAAGTTAATTCACATAAAGTCTTTAGAACATTGCCTAACCCACAATAAGCACTCAATAAGTGTTAGCTATTATGAACTACTATTGACTTCCTTCAGGGATATCCTTCTCAGTTGCCCTTCACTTTGATCTCTGGAGAAGGGCTTCTCAAAGATTCCCCTTCCTTCTGATTCCATCCTTAAAACAAGCTTAAAGCCTAATGATGAAACAAACTGCATGCTTCCAGGAGAGTGAGCAACTCTGGGGCACTCCAAACTTGGTATTTCTTTTCCATTAGCCTGGCTTTGAGCTATTCCTCCCTGGATGCTTTGCTTCCCTGAGGCAGCATAATTTAAATGGCTCCAGAGCCAGACTACCCAGTTAAAAACTCTGGCTCCATTCTACTTTAAAGCTTGAATTACCTTAGGCAAGAGCTTAACTTTGCTGTGCATAATAACAGTACCTACCTCTGGGGTTATGAAGATTATATATTAGTTTAATATTTGTAAAATTCTTAGAACATTACATGCATATAATAAATTCTATATGAGTTTGTTGAATAAATGCCATTTCCTATTAGAGGAAGTAAAAATGTCAATTTTTGTCAAAGAAGGAAACTGTGCACGTGTGGATATGTTTTATATATATAGACGTGTGTATGTGTGTCTGTCTGTGTGTCTGTGCATGTCTGTGTATTGTCTGTGTATTATAAAGGTTGACTTCTTTATAAGTTTCTACAGAAGCTTAAGTTACCAAACCTTACTCCTAGATTACCACTAAAATTTCCTCAATGACTTTCAAACTTACAGTAGCCACATTCATAGAAGTAATTAATACAGCAAAGCCCTGAAAAATAATACTTGCAGTAAACTAAAGCCAACTCCGGCAACCTTGTATATACAAAACTTTTCCTAGCTAAATTGCATAGGAATAAATCTGAATGAAGTTTTAATCAAATCCAGATACACATGTTTTGTTGGAATAAGAACTTTTAAACAGAAAGAGATGAACTTTAAATTTCTGCAATCACTCATAGATCAAAGAAATTTTATATTAAGTTGCTCCTATGTACCAAACGCCATACTAAGTTCTGGGTGTATAATGGGAAACAATAGGAGTGCCTGCCTTCCTGTTGCTTACAATCGAGAGGACAAGGAGATAGGAATTAAGAAAGATAGACTCCACGATAAATGAAGCAGAAGAGAAGACATGTACCTGCCTGCTGTGCCACCAGCAAATGAGGGCTAGAGGTTCCCCACTCTACATGGACAGTTTTACCCCCTAGTTGGAATAAGGTAGAGACAGAGACTTAAGTGCTTTTCTTTTTTCAACATAATGTAGATTGAACAGTCAATGTGCACAGTTTTGTAATAGCCCTGAGAAATGACACAAAGAAAAGACAAGGTCTTTTATTTTTCTATCAAGAAACCCCAGAGAGCACCTGCAAATTGATTTAGCTAATTTAAAAGAATCAAGAGAAATTATCTGCACTAAAAAGAGTACTTAAAATAATGCCACATTATTTTTTTTCTTCTCCAGTAATTTTTTTTTTCCTCTCCAGTCTAAGCTGGTGGTTTAAGAGAGTGAAATAGCTTTCATTCTAAACTACTCTATTCAAGCTCTGCTCACAATTAAATTGATTCTTTTTCATCACCCTGTGTACACCTGTTAACACATTTTAAGGTAGATTCTCTATGTGTCTCTGTGTACACAGTAGGCACTTTGGAGGCTGTGCTAGTTACTTGGGGGGACCAGGATGGGAGGTGATTAGATTGCCAAATCAGTCTGTCCTGGAAGGCCTACTCGGGAATTGGGCCCTTTTAGTGAATTTGATGAGGATGCAACGTTTTAAAGGAAATCTCTGTGGACCAAAAACAACTAATGCAGTTTTTGTAATTTCTTCCCTTAGAAAGAGAGAGCAGTTATAACCATTACATAAGCAGCTTCAGAGCACAGGATGTAAAATCTGATGACCCAGCTCTTTATTTCCCAGGTATTACCCCAGTTTCCGCACCTGCAATACTAAGGGACCAAATAGATTTCCTCTGCAGAAAAAACATAATGCAGGTTAGTGAAATCATCTTGTACACTCTGAAATGTTCTATATAATTATTATTCCCTCAGGCCTGAAAGGATGGTTCTCTTAAAATGGGAGAATTTTATGTCTTACAAAGCAGAGATTTCACCCATACCTTGAGAACCAATTTAGACCACGAATTGCTCTGAGTTTTTTGTTTGTTTTATTAGGCCAAGACTTCTCTACAGAATAATAGGTATATAGGGCTTTTAACTTTTCTTTTGCTACTTGGCACAACAGCAAAAATGCCTCTGGAGCCAATGGGCATACAAGCCTGCTTCTTAATAAAGCAGTATCTGATGTTTTTAAAATATGTCAAGGAAAATAATCATAGGAGCTACCTGGTGTTAAAGCCCTGCCACATGTTGAATCATTGTGCCAGGTAGTTTACATATGTTACCGCTAATGCTTATAATCACCCACATAAGTGTTGCTATATCATTATCACTTTATTGATGAGTAAAGAAGTTCAAACAGTCAGTATCTTGCCCAGAGAGATACAGCTGGTAAGTGGTAGATGGGGAATTTAAACCCAAACCTGTGTGTTTCTAAAAGTTTATTTTTTGCTTCCTCAATAAGCGGCTGACTACATATGTAGATGCAGTATATTAAGAATCGGAAAATAATTCCTGAGTTTTCCCGCAGGCTGAGATGGGTCTTTTTAGAAGGTCCATCTGTGTATTCTAAGCCTATCCCAGTGCTTCACCGTGGAATGAATCTCAACCCAATTCAGAAGAATGAGAGGCTCATAACTGTGTGAGCATGTGCTGGGATGAAAAACATTTCTTCACTTCCTCCAGCAATAAGAGATTACCTTACTTCACTACCTGGTAAAGTTTTCTTTCAAAAGAGCATCTGGAAACTACAGTGCCAAAGGTACTATAAACACATGTAAGATGACTTATTGGAATGAAGTAATTTTTTAAGTAGAACAAGAAAAGAAAATGGGGAGAGCAGAAAAATACTGATTCTTATATGTACAAAACAATGAGGGCGATGTGGGGACCTGAGCACTGTGTGGCTAATGCAGATTTGGATGACTAAGTCAAAATCCTCTCCCTCATCCTCTGCAATTGTTTCAAGACACACAAATTCTCTTGAATTTGGAACCTGCAGTGCTAAAGAAACACATAGCTTTCTTTTACAGAAAAATCATACTGCAGCACATTCTAGATTATCCATACCCCTGCAGAGTTGCATTAAGAGAGTTAATATCTTAGCATGGAAAATTTACCAAAGAGTTTCAAAACCATGACCTTACCCTCCGGGCACTCCTACTTTCAAAATTGGATAAAGAGGAAGCAGTCGGAATAAGACACAGCAAACTGGTTAGGGAGGCAGACGGGCTTTGTTCACACCCTTCAGATTCCAACTACTAGCTGTGTGCTCTTGGGCAAACTATTGAACTTCTCTGAACTTCAAATTATTACCAGTAAAATGGGGGTTATAATGCATACCTTTTATAAGAGTTAAATAAAATATGTCAAGTAACTATCAATATCTGATATATAATGGGTCCTAAAAGAAGGTTAGTTATTTTTGCCCAAAGTCTGAGAAGCAGATTGTAGCTCGCTTCTTCTGAGAGTTTGGGAAAGATTCTCATCTAACAAGGATAAGCTATTAAGTGAACATTTATAATTATCTTTAATAACATTTTTGCATAAAATGGTGAGCACCACAGGTGAATATTTCCCATGGTTGATTTTATTAATTTCATCTACCCCAGTAGAACATATTTCCAGTGGGGCATCCCCACAACTGGATGGACATAGGAAACCTCATTCACAACATTCATACTAACTGAGTAAAAAGAACTACACATAATTTGTCACATTTCCTCCACAATGATGATGGCGTGAGACATCGTCTTGAAAACTTCTGAGAAGGGGGTCAGCTCTGAAACATCCAAAGGTTTGTTTTGGATTTTTCTGTTTATCTGTTTTTAGTTATCCATAAAAAGCAAAGCTGTGGGCTCTTAAAAATTCTCAAGGTGGGGGTGTGGGTGTATTCTCTAGAACTGGTTTGCAGTGGTTAATTAGAAACTACACAGCTTCAAGTAATCTATGCACACAGTAGATGGAAGAAAATAATCCCTTTCTCCTAAAAAAACAGGTACTTAAATTCAAATGACTCAGTATAGATTAGTTGACACCACAGGGTTTGACCACCTCCGTAGCTGTAAATGAAAAGAAGGACTTGTCAAAGAATTTAAATCAGATGCAAAATAAAAGATGCCAGTTGTTTATAGAAGCTAGCAATTAAGAAAATGTATGTGGGTAAACAGAAGAAAGTAACTTCTTGACAACTTCTTGAGACCTTAATTCATTGGCATTTACTTGATATCTTTGTCAGAGCCAGGCAGGGGGCCAGCATAACTTCTGCAGACTTCGCATCACCCAG